TCAGGCAGGCCTATGAGCTATGGGTCATTTGAGACTATGACAGCACTAGGCATAAATCATCTTCAGAGAACACCCCTCTCTGTCATGCACAAGGAGTATGGGCATAAACCGAAAACAGCACAGTCTAGGCCATTCAGATATCAATTATTCAAAACTCCAAACCTGCAACTCCCTATATAGGTCCTGGCTCCTACATCAACTTGCCACTATCTGTTACCTTCCTAACATACCTACCTAAATAAATAAAATTTATTCCCAAATTTTATATTCCAGGTCACTGAGGAAAACTACATTCTAGGAAAGGGTGACATGAAAAAGCCCCAAAAAACCAAAACCTCCAGAAGATCCCAACAGGACATAGTAAGTTTGACCTGCTGGTGAGCTGGAGAAAACTTAAAATCAGTAAGATTTTTTTTCATTCACTGTAGCAGATGGTTGAACATGGTCAAGTACTTGGAACAGCAAAGAAAGAAGCAGAGTACCTTTTATCCATAGACTAAGTTGCTAACCACATCTGCACGTTATTTTGGGACAAACTCCTAAACTGCTTTTGCAACTGGACTCCACATTCATCCAACTACATGGACAGAGTTGGTCCAGTACAGTGATAAGCCGTCTGGACAGCCCAACAGGAGGCTTCCTCCATATCCTCTGGAAGGACAGAAGATGGGTGGCTTAGGACTACTCATTTGGAGTAGATGTAGCTACTCGATCTTGCTGGGATTCAGCTCCCTCATTTGTAGCAACTGCCTAAGGATATCTGGGCACTTTGAAAGTATGGTATTTAAAAGTTTATTCTTGTGAATAAAAGAATTTAGAGCAGTGAATCTGAAGTACCATCAGTCACACCCCAAAATCTACTGGAATTGGTGGGAGAATCAAATCTTTTACTTGGTCTATAGCTATCTCTGTTAGACTTCAGACACAGGTATGCTTAGATCACTGCTGTTGACCAGGACGTGCAGATTAATCAATGCTTGCAACGACTAACTTGAACTGACAGGCTCCTCTTCCGACGTGCGCTTTGTGAACTAGAAAAACAAGAATTTCCCCATCTCATCCACAGTCTTGCCCAAAGGTTCCTGTTCTTTCCTCCATGGCCCTTCTGTATTTGTCCCACAGAAACAAAACTCCCAGAAGAATTCTGAAGGACCTGATCGTATGTGAAAATGTCAATTTAAAATTGCTCTCTCGCCATTCTTGGCAAGCACCCAGATATGAACCACATGTCTGGTGGAGGAATTTGGCCCACAGACTGTTTTTAATTAAACGCTTGTCTACTGATATTAACTTCAGTGGCATAAGAATGCCGCAAAAATCATTCATCCTAAATGAAATTATTTCCTATGTAATTTACAAACTTTATTTCTTCAAACTGGAGGAATTCCACGTGTGTTAAAACAACAACCACTTAAACATTTAAAGCTGAAAAAATGCCAAATGATAGAAAACAGTCAGAGAGAAATCCTCATATTTCATTTTTGAGAATAATATTCAAAAGAAAAAAAAAAAAAAGCTGTTGAGATACTTTATTAACAACTAAGCTAACTCCAGCTACCAGCAGGTCTGTTCTTGTAAAATTATAAATCCATTATCTTTGTAGGCATATGAGAGAAGAAATCGGGCCTGAAAACAGTATTTGAAAGGATGCAAAATAGTAAACATCACTTAGAAAATTTGATATTCACTTAAATCCAAACAATATGAAATCTATTCACTTTTCTTAAGTAGCAGAAACAACTGCAAATCCTTTTGTTGAAAATCCATTACTTGAACTCTAATTTTACTGGCTAACAAAGCAATTAATTCACTTGTCCAGATTGCCATTACTTTATAATATAACTACTGGTACTTTTGCTGCGCAGGCAGCAAAAAAAATGAAAAGGAGACTCATGCACCCACTCCCCATGCTCACGCTGCCTGCTAACACAGGCTTCAACTAGCTATATTTCATCTTAAATATTGAGAAGATCAAGGCAATTATTTTACAGCTATTCTAGAGCCAAAACACAAACAACCTTTCTTTAGAACAATATTCAAGCAAGCTTTTCCCTAATTATCAATCTCGCTGTTTCTACGTTCATGCTTTAAATTATAGAAACAAACGAGAGCATTCCCTATCACCAAAATATCACTGTCTAAAGAGATGCGTTAAATCATTCCTGTTCAAAAAAGAGGTATCTAAGCTTTAAGAAAAGCATTACACTAAAGGGGATGAGCAGGTTAAAACTTATATTTATACAAAGATATATTTTACTGCAAAAAAGTAAAGTATATAACAAGACATGCCTAACTACTGTAGGTTCTTTTTAAATATCCTTCACTCAGATTAAACTCTGCTAAAATGTGCATAGACCAAGGCATTAGAAAAATTTAAAAGACTTCTTATTTTATTATTTTTGTAAAAACAATCTTGAAAATTTTATATTGTCTAGATTTACAAAGTCCTGTAACTTGTTCATCAGTACTTATATGGGTGGATTCATCATTGCTGCATGCGTGTACTGCATGAACTGCAAGTGACCTGCAGTTCAGTCAATGCTGCTGTTCATCACTTAGAATTCTCAAATTTAGTTCCCTTCCCCCTACCAGAAAAATATATAAAAGTTAAAATTAAGGCCAGTGTTAAAGAGCACATCTTGTCTTCCAGCTCTAATACTCGCAGAACACTTTCCATACAGGAGACCTCTCATCTGGATTTTCTTAATTAACTTGGAGAAACTAGAATCAGATTTTATTAGTATACAGCCTTAATTCTCAATACTTTTAGCCTGTGAGAAGGAATTTTACAAAGAATTAGACTCTCTGTCCTTCTGCACATGTGCCAAAATCTCGCTACTCTATATATAGTACAGAAGACAATCAGTCTGGACCACAGTTAGTCCCGTCATTCTCAGTGTCAGGGGATGAAAAATGTATGAGGTGGCACTATTAAAAAAATAGCTTACGACAGACTAATTGGATCCTGTACAGATAAAGATTTCTCATGATCAAAGCAAAAAATAAAATCAAACAGCCACCATCTCCAAACCCCCCACCAAAAATCACCCACAACAGAACTTTGATGTCTCTGTGAATAATTCCACTGAAAGAATAAGGGGAAAAAAAATCTCTTGCAATTAATCTTTATACCACATTGATAAAGGACAGAAAGGATTGCCTTGCAAGTCATACTCATAGCACTCTTCCTCAGAGCTGTTTCAATCTAAGTTTTTTTCACTTGCATTGTATCTTTCATCTTGTTCTCTTTCTCGCCTAAGGAAGAGTTTGGTGTTTCAAAACCTCCATCACCAAATCAGCCTGTTGAACCCACTGAAGAAAAGACCAATAATGTTGTTGTTCCTATATAGATGCCAAATTTGTATTCTCAGTTATCAGTTAAGATTATAAAATGGGTTATGAAGATGAGTAGACCAAATACATACTTGCTATGAAAAGATTTTCCAGCATATTTCAAGATTTCAGCAAGTCTTGGTCTTAAATATCAAGCTGCCTGCATTTGGCCGTCAGCTTAATTTTTTTCCCCTAACTCTGTTGAGGCACTCATAAGTTGCTCTCCTTATATGGGAGAGAAAAAAAAATTGTAATAGACATATAAAAGAGCACAACGTACCTACTTAATTTCATTTTTGTTTGTTTTGTCAAAATAACTAGTCAAGTGTCAAAGAAGCTACAATATATGCCTAAAATATGACTTCATACAAAGAATAGGTGAGTGTATAAAGTCTTACAAAGGTACCTACATCAGTAATAATTTTCCTCTCCTTCTGCCTTTCAGAGGAGATGCATTACTGTTAAGCTTCACTGAGACTTATTATTGTATTTCTAGCATCCCTTCCCTCTGGCTGGTTAGTACAATGATAACATTTGAAATAGCCCATGCACTGAAATTATTACCAGCCACTCTGCACGAGTCCCAGAAGATGCAATCACTCTAATGAGCAATCACAGTATCCACTGGTCTCATATGCCCGGTCCCTAGCAGCTGAAGACCTGCACGCCATCTTCATCACTGAGGCCAACAGACACATCCTCCTCTACCTCCTCATCAAGCTGAAGGCTTCCAAAAGAGTACTTATTTCTAGGCATGGGAGAGGAACTCAGCACAATAGGATTTCCAAACACCAGGGGGTGAGTGAAGGGGTTAATGATTTCCGAGTCAGAATCGCTAGATTCTGTCCCACTGCTGGTGGACACCTCCATCATCTGGATTGCAGCCATGTGATCCATCACGCCACTGGCATGCAGCGACTGCATGACAGGGCTCTGCTTTGACTGTGTCCCAGCTGGCATACCATTGGCCATCATTTTGCCTTCTGGAGAAGACATCTTAGACACCCCGCCTCCTTTACAATGTCTTTCTGACCTATACTCCTGTCCAGGGGTTGAGGATATCTGGCTCAGGATAAATGGATCTGTAACTGACTTATTGCAGAGATTTGGGATTTTCTGTGCACAAGGCCGTTGAGAACCTGGAGAATATCTGCCATACCCATGGCAGCTACCGGCATGGTTATCCTCCTCCCCAGTCCTCACCCCGCAGTCATGCCCATTTTCTGACACGTAACCCTGAGAGCCAGTTCTACTCAGGCTCATATTAGGGCTTGACCCTTTGCTACTGGGAGGCAATGGAGTGGCCAGTGGACTACGGTTCCCTGGCCCTCTAAACATTTCATCAACCAGTGAGCTGTGCCTTGGCATCCTGGGGCTTCCCCCAGTGTAGAAGGAGAAATTAGCTGGGTTATCATCAAGGTACTCTTCAGAGAGGTACTGGAAAGACTTTATAGAGGCTGAGGAATCCCTGTATCTAGTTCTATTGCGATTTTCATCTCTATAGTGATTATAGGCACCACTGGTCAAATCACCCTCATAATTGTCATTTGTTTGGGAATATGACCGGGTTATTTGTCCTCTGAGGAGATCATACTCGCTATCTACATCACTGCAGTCAATGAAAGGAATGGAGGTGCTGCTGCCATGAGCAGCCCTGGAAGCTGGACCTGTGCTTGGTTGCTGTGACTGAGGTCTGTTCTGCTGCATCCTGTCCTTAGCAGCCTCCTCTTCTTCCTCCACTGTTGACACCACTGCTCCATCCACCTTTCTGCCTTCCTTTGGGCTCTTCTTCAAGGAAGGGCTCTTGTGCTGTCCCGTGTCTTCTGTTGAAGCCTTCAATTCCTTCCCTTGTCGGCAGCTCTGCACTGCTGCAGCATCATTGTCGTCTCCATAGGCAAAGCTAGAGCTCTGGAAAGATAAAGGAGGGAAGGAAGGAGGAGACAAAGGGGGTGGGAGGGGAAAGGTTTGGGAGGGGAGGGAGTCAGAGGGAAAAGGCTGTGTGTAATTATGCACCAGAATTTTGCACTGCATCTTACAGCAACATAGGACTCTTTTGGTGGAGGCGGTAACCCAAGCTTCAAAAGGAATTAGAAGAAAAAAAAGAGGTCTCTGATCTTAAGAGCAGAAAAATACATAAGCTAAGCAAGGGAAAAGAAGGCAGACAGAACATAGTGGTATGTAAAAAAGGGGTATTTGAGGTGTTTCAATGCCCTCAGGCATCCATCAACACTAAGAACATCAACCTGTTCGCACTACTCTGAGAAGCTGGAGGGACAAAAAACATAAATGTGTAAGACAGATTTTGCACAGCCTACTTTAATACACTAAAAAAGCTGTGTGTGGGCTTTTGAACACCCCACATTCAATCCCTGGAGCATACCTGCCACTAATTCCTGGGCTGACTTCTCTGCACACAGAAATATGTTGCACCTGCCCAGTAGCCATGCTCCATCTACCTGAGCTTCTCTTAGCAATATGAAAATGCTAAAAGATATTTGAAAATGGCTGTATGTATAGCAGAATTCTCTGAAGTTCTTAGATTTGCAGGAATGACAGAGCCCATGAATATCAAAAGGAAGCAATGCAAGGTGAAGGTACAGGCAGCATTTTTAAATACATTAACCTAGTAGCTTGCTTCTGCCATTTAAGTTCTACCTAATGTAAGGTTATGTGGTTAAAGGTTCGCCTCCAGAAACATAGATGAGCACAGAGAAACACTAGCAGGTAGAGGAACCCCAATAACCTAGTCAAGGAAATGGAGGCCCCTGACCCGGCTCCTCTGGGGGCTGTCCCAGTGGAGCCATCAGCCCATGGTCTGGGTGTGTCTGGGATGCCAGCAACCGGAGAGACCAGAACATGTGCATGTTGATTGGGTGGGCAGGTCAATGTGCAATTGCTAGCAAACATTAAACTGGACTAGTCAGCAAGTAGGATAAGAGAGTTAGGAGCCAAGTACTGGAGCAGCCGTAAGTCAGGCCAGACACTGGAAAGGCCATGGAACCTGGGGGCCAAGTACTGGTAATGTCATAAGTCTGGACCAGCTATTGGAGAGACACCTTTGCATGTGTGTGTCTGTGTGTGAGGTAACCGGGAACCAGGGGACCCAGCTGTCAGTTACTGGGTAGACTGGGTGTCTAAGATGAATTACTGGAGGAACCCATAGAGTGTGCATGTGTGTGTGTGGATCTGAATACCAGCAACTGGAGCCGGGCCGTGAGCCTTGGGGGCTTGTATGTCAGGTGCCAGCCACTGGGAGACCTGAGGATCCAGGGGCCTGCTACTGGACAGACTGAGTGTCTAAGATCAGTTGCAGGAGGGATCCATATCATATATATGTATACGTATTTTCTGCTAATGAACTTTTGTCCTGATGAGCCAAAGAGCAAAACAGAGTGAGGCCCCTGGCACCGTTTGTGCTTGTGGGAGTGCTGTCTTCTGTTTGCATTCACCTGTGTGGCTGGCTCTGTATATATGTATATATATAGTATATGTCCATTTATGTGGGTGCCTGTAGTAAATGCATGCTCAGCCTCACTACTAGCTGGACCTGGGAACATGCAGCTGCTGCAACCTCACCACTACGGAGCTACTAGATTTGCAAACTCCTAACACATAACAGCTATTAACATAAGACAAATACATTAGGTATCTACCAGACATAATGGCTTAAAAGTCCAGAGCTGTAATTTTTCTGAGGAAATAATTCTTCTCCTCCCTGGTTAATACAACAAAACACCTTGTCATGGGCATCCAAGACTCCCCAAGTGAAGGAAAAGAATTGAACTCTTCCCAGATGCCATAACCAGCTACAACCCAGCAGTAACAATTTGCATTTTTTCAGATGGCCATTAATACAGCTCAGACAAGCTTGCTATTTATATTTGTCTGGAAGCAACGCTGTTCCACAGTGGAAATGAACCTGTTCCACTTGCACAACATAAAACTTATGACACTCAGGGCTCCTCAGCTCCCCGTTAAATGGAAAGTGAGCAGAAAGCTATGGAGTTTCAAAACAGCAATCAGTGGAGGGTAATCTAACAAGAAATGTTTGAAAGGCATGATCCATGGTTTCATTAACATCACTGACTTGTTTTGGCACCTCTGTATGCTGCTCTGAAGGCTGTGCAGTCAGACTCCTGATGGAATGAATCTTGCTGTGTTTCCTGAAGATAAAAGGAAAATCACAGTAAGAAGCCATTTCAGTTTTTTTTGACAAATAGGAATCAAGAGACATGCATCCTTTAAAACAAAACCTTTGAATAGCAGCTTTCATAAAAGTTTGCTCCCAAACAGATTAACATTCTTCCTTTCTGTAAAATTTAAATGTGCTACATGTTGCGGACGAGGCACTGAAGCAAAAATGGTCTATCACCAGGACATGAGTCATAAGCAATGGACTGTTGTCATGATCTTTGCGGCATTTTAGCCACTACTTTCAGCTCACCATGAGGAAGATGAGTTCAGATGGAACTGGCTCTAGCAAGTTGGAAGCTTTCCCTGGAGATCTCTCCCTTAAGGTTGGCTATACCTATTCATGTTACTTTCACTTTTATTCTGAGGTGAATATGCCTGTTCACATAAATTAATCACATCACACCAAAGAGGGTGCAAATCAGCATGGGAGGAAGTTACCTGTGATGGTAGGACACTCACTGCTGACAAACAGATTGAAGACTATTGATTTTAAGTAAACTATAGGTTATGCCAACTTCCCCCAAAACATTCAGGACCAAGGGGATTATTATACAAGTGATAAACTGTCAAACCAGCAAAGAAGGAATTTTTTACTTGGACTGGAGCAAGATCTTGGACAAGATCTTAGAATATAACTAACTGGAAATCATGACTTTTCTTTGATTAAAACATACTGGGATAATTCATTTATTTCCTCTCACCTTTCAAACTGCACTTTTTTGTGCCCTCCTTCTTTAACGTAGTCAAGAACTTGCTTCTGAGTCCGACCACTGGAAGAAAACCACAGTTAAAATATTTAATACAATATACCACCTGGTCATCATAAACATGTATGTGGCCTGGATATGAAGTCACAGCAACCAGAAAGTATTTGTCACTATGAGCAGAAACTCATGTAAGATCATAAGGAAGGGGATCTGGGCAGATACACACAGATTTTTATAATTTTGTATGTTACTTGCCTCTTTTTTTGCTATGGAGCTACTTTTTGATGCCATTTCAGAACTGCTTAAATTCAGTTGTGTGCCCTTTACAGGGTACTAGATTACAGGGAAGTCACCACAATAGAAAGTGACGCAGGGGTTAAGTTTTCCCGTCATGAACAAAAAACATTCTTGAATCCTTTTGAGTCAAATACCAGCCTTACCTGGTACCAGTAAGTCCTGGAACCAAGATGAAAACCATTGAAATGCATTTAATGACTCAATTGCTACTATTAAACACATCAACTAAGCATACGTACGTTTTCTGTAGAGATTTAGGCTGGAAATCCCTCTTCCCTGTCCTGCTACAGGCTGTGAAATAGTGAGAAAGTCCAGCACTTCCTATTGTGCAAAGTTATAAACTCCAAAGGGAACTGAGAGCAGTAAAGGAAACCCACACCTCAAGAATGCTCCATAGAGAACCAAATCCTTCCTGCTCATTAGAGGCTTTCAACTAACTGAGTTATCACAAGGCCTGGAAAAAGTTATTGAATGTATGTAGCACAGATCACAGTGAGTGGAGGATGTAGCCAAAACCTCCTCTCCAAACCAGGAAGCAAGTTGAATGCACCTACAGTCTTCTATTTACTCAGGCAGAAACTTAACAAGTTATAGCTTGTTTACCCCAACATAGGTTCTTCCATGTTAATTAATTTACTTTGCAGGCAGGAAACAAAGCAGGAATAGAGTTAGAATGGCCATATTTACTATGTTCTTGTGCAAGGCAACTGGAGTGTATGGTTTATCTCAGCAAAGAGGGTTTCTGGCTGTTCAGCTTATATCAGCTTTGGAAACAAAATAAACTATGAATAAAAGGATTTCCCCCCCGGCATACACAATGCAATATCTACAATGAGGTTTCTGCCAGTGTAAGAAAAAACCCCAATAACCCAACGATTAAAAACTTTTCTACAGCTTTAACAGTATCGCAGGTAGATGTGGTCGTCCCTCATAAATCCTTTGCAAGCATAAAGGTCTCAGTATAGAGACAAGCCATTGCTTTTAACTGCATAGAGATGGGTTTACTACAGGGACATGCAATAAAGACAAATCTCTACGCTGATACACAGAAAAGATCCCATCCTAGAAGCAGAAGATGCAGAGTGCCAACAAGTTGGTAGCTAGTGTTGCTTAGAACACAGGTGGATTTTCTTATGCAAAACCAGCTGGAATTACGTACTTTATATCTTACCTCCAGAAAGCTACTTTGCAACAGCTACTACAAAATGAATGCAGACTTTTTCCCCTAAAGAGTTCTTTGCAGTGTTCTGGTTGAGAAGATGCAACTGAAAATATAAAGGAGCAAACTACAATGGAAAAAAGGGGAGCTGAAAATAATAGGTTTAATCCTAGATTGCTACGGATGTGATTTTGAAATAGGGAGGCAAGAAAGGTGGAAAGAAGAATGCAGGTCTTACCTGAACCTAAATGATGAACCTCTAGAAAAAAGAACAGGTTTAGGCTTTGGTTTAGGTTCCTCAAAAAGCCTGAAAAAGGCATGATGTTCCACGCAGATCTTCCAGAAAGACTTGCAAAAATCTCGACTGGACATAAGGAATTCCAGAGTGTCCTGGAATGAACTCTGAAAATTGAGATGGCATTTGCAATGTAAGCAAGCAAGCAACATATGTTACAGACATGCATTAACAAAGCAGACGCTATGCTATTAAAAAAAAAAAGAAAAAAAAGCTTTTTCCCAACTCATTTGCTTTCAGGCTTAACAGGCCCTATCCTTCCCACTTTGAGACATCAATAGTCTGCCTGGCAGTATCAGAGCTATTCCTCAAACTTCCTTTCACTGAAAAATATGACAGAGACAAAGCAGTGGTCTTAACGTTAACAAGAAGAGGTAGCTTACATGCTGTAACTTAAGAATTGATGATATAATACCAGAGTTGCAGCCAGACATTCCGTTTACATTTCCTTTGCTAGGACTGCTCACCTGAGATGCCAGGTTGATGCATGCAGTACCAACAGTGAACATAACCAATTAATTAAAAAAAAAAAAAAATCTTGAGGTGATAAAAACGTATGTCTACATGATTAGAAATTTACCAAATAACCTTTGGTCAACTTCATCAATTCCTGACAAGGACTTACATTCACATCAGGCCGTAGTTTGATGAGAAAACGTTTCCTCTTGAAGCTCAGCTTTCGAACCTTAGCCCAGTTGAAGGCGTTGATCTTGGTGTGACCCTACAGAGAACAACGCCAGCAGAGTTTAAGCATTCCAGATCTGAATGGAGAAATCTAAACTGCTAAAGAAAGCTTGTCATAAAGTAATCATCTATTCACTTAAAATTATGGTATTTTTTATCATTCATCTTCTGATAATACAAACCATAAGCATCTGGTGCCGTGACTGAAGGCATGTACTTATGGTTAAACTCTTGCATATTTATAGGACTAGGTATGCTGAGTTGATGTGAAAGTATCTGACCCAGTATCACTGCACAAAACAGGGTGGCCCAGCTTTGCCCAGATGATATTATCTTGTTCCACTATGCAGACTCAGATTTTCAGCAGACCAAGGCACATCCCAGCAGTGCCGCCTTCTCTTTCCACCAGCTACAGAGAATGCAGGGAATCCAGACACATAACGTGTCACCTCACTTTGATGGGGTAGATTTCCTTCCTCTTTGGCCTCTTTCCTTTGCCTCTACAGAGCAAATTAAACACCCCTTTAAATATTAGTTAACTAGGGGGGTAAAAAACCAGCAACTGAAAGTTTTGTATTGGAAGTACAAAATACTGGGAGCATTCTGACCTTTCATAAGGAGCAAGAGAAGTAAAAGGAACCTAAATAAATTACTTGTCTCTGAAGAGTCACAAAATGCTTTTCTCAAAAAAAAAAAAGCAACCAAAAACCAGAAGCACACAGCAAGTCTGAGAGAAATTATCTTCAAAATACTACAATTCCCAATGACTGCATCATTAGCCCCTACCCCCCAGAAGTCTCTTCTTAATCTATGTTAGAAGGTATTTGAGGTATTATTTTAAAAAATTAATTACAGTAGTTTGTTCAGTAAAGATTTCAATACAAACATGCCTACAGCACAGAGCAGAAGTTTCACAGAGCTACTACAGGATTGCTAAATGCAGAAACCCACACCGATTTGGGCACCGTCATCAGACGGACGTAGGAGTAATGACAGTGTGATGATCTCTGCTAAGACAACCTGCTGTCTAAGAATCACATAATTAATCTCCCTTAGAATATTCAGCAGCACTGACATTGATTTCTAAATAAATGGCAGGCTTTAAAGTAAGTCTGTCTGAGTGCTGCCTATGCCATTTGTGAGGGAACCTTTATTTTCCTTGAGGTCATTCTAATGAGGTCTTCATATTTCAATTTCTCTCAGTTACATCCAAAATAAAAAGATGGACTTAAGGCTCTTGCCCTGTGAAGTGCCTGAAGGAAGCCCTCAGCCTACTGCCAGATGCCAGGTGCTGGGCAGACTCCAGCAAGTCAGAGCCTAACCTGAGCTTCCTTTTCAGTCTTGAAGCTTGACCCAGCAAAATTTCCAAGCTTTTCTGAAAGTTCAGAAAAAACCTGTTTTCAAAGTCCCAAACACATTAGGACAAGAAGAGATGAGAGCTTTACAAATCAGGCCTTGGGCCTTCATGCAGCAGCTGCATCTTTACAGGAGGATCCCAGCTGTCTGCTGGGACTTAGCGAGGTCCACGCTGTTTTGTGTGGACACGTACTTCCAGCTGTAAGACAGTCTTAAGTTATAAAGCTTTGCAATTCATTAATTCAGCTGATGAAAATACTGTGGGGGAGCAAGGGAAGAGCCTGAACATACAATTATTTGAGTTATGTGCGTTTCTAACAACATCCTGGTGTTCTCATGGTTCAAGCTATGCTTCAGTTTTGGGGTTTAGCAACCCATGTAGTTGAGGAGCATTGGGTTTTTTATCTGTTTTTTAATTTAGATCTCAGAGCATTTGAGTCAGACATATTTCTGTGTTTGTTGCTGTTGTTTTTTCTTTATAAAAGGACTCAAAGTAGTATAAGGTTGGAAACACTAGTATTTTAACTGAAGTCCAACAGTTAAAATGAATAGCCTTTTTTGACATTTGTGAAAATGGACATTCTAAAGAACAGTTTACTTACTGTTTTTAACAGTGAGGTAAGCAGCATTTAGGTTAGGAAAGCCAAAGCCCTGA